GGAAAAAACTGACAGCGCCTGAAATAGAAGACATCTTCGTGAGAAATTAGATTTCATATTATTCGAAAAATGAAATGATATCCATGTCACAAGTTTGGCTCTTACACCAGGATTGCAAGCTTGAAGCGTTTCTTTCTTAATTACATGAGTGTAAATCCTAATTATACCAATTACCAGATTAAGTCAAGGTTTAACAGCGTTATAGTAAATTGTTTCATTAGTAATCGCGGGAGTTATTTAATTAAAACTGTTTGACGCAAGTCATAAAACTAAGCCTGAATCTTTGTCGTGCGCGCTCGTCCGAAATTACTTGAGAACTTGCCTCCAACTTGTACCTACATTCGTTAACTAACAAGTGTAAAAGTTTTAACTACACTTCAGGCGATTATTCCGAGGCTTTTACGTTTACAATGTCCCGTATGTAAATAGAATTCACTAAATTATTGAAATAGTTTTTAATGTTTATGTTTTTCTTGTAATGGATTGAGCTATAAAATAGAACTATAAGCAGAACCATTTACCGATGCATCTTCTAAAATTATTATCATCATTTAACTTAGATGTTTCTATATAACTATGTGAACTCAAAATTAATGATGGACCCATAGTACAAACTTTGTTGAATTTAGTTCTCAACAGCCCTATGTAGTTTTACAGGATATTACTCATAATATTAACAAAATTCAATTCAAATTCATCTTATCTAGTTGAGAAACATCTTTTTTTAATACATTTCAAAAAACAGTTTTTTAATACATTATCGCCTCTATTTTTTTTTTAAGGCGTAACAAGACTGATGAATAGACGATGATAAACAGAGAAATTTTTCTTGAATTCTGCACTGAAGAAGACTTTTTGACATACAGGCCTAAAGAGAGAACTAAACGTTTATGGTAGAACGTGGAATGTAAACGCATTTTACCATACTAATATTTAAGACATACATAAAATTTAAGATTTAGTCTCGGGCGTAATACTATTACAAAATCTCATCTAAGTATTTTATTTTCAATCTCAACTACTGCAAAACTTATGCGCAACCTCCTGTATGTTGTTAAAATGTAAACTGTTCCTGAAGTATGTGGGCATATAAACTTTTAACTTGTTTTAGATTGTGTTTGTAGAAAACCTCTTTGGATTTGTGTTTTAAATTACAATATTAATTTTAATCGTTGACTTTTTGTGAATATACCGACCGAAGGTTCGGTTTTGGTTTCAGTTTTGGCCAGTTTTGCCCAAAAAATTTAGTTTCGGTTCGAGTTATAGTTTCGGCCACAATTGGCTTTCGACCGCACCGAAACTCAGTGTTCGTTAACTTCGTTGCTAAGTCGTGGAGACCAGCTCTAGCTAAGTTGGCCGCCGTCCAGTGCGATCTTTTTTATGGTATTTGGGGGTCAAGCGACTACCCGTGATGGTAAGGGCGGCCATGGACACCTGCTACTTAAAGGTCACCAGTGTATTGCCCTTCAGTTCCTCCCCAGAAGATCAGGGGAAAGGGTTTAATCATAAATAATTTTATATTTTTTTATTTTGCTTGTAACTAACATTATTTCGTATAGTATAGTAGCTTCGTTCTGTTGAGTTTTATTTATATATTAGTGACAGATAAAAAAGATTATGTTCGATGCAGGAATTACTTAGGTCGTATTACAGAACGTTCCTCAAAACTCGCTTGAGCGTAGTTTTGTAAGGTGAAAACTAACTTCAAGCATTTGTGGAGTTTCCAGGCTCATTTTGTAATACGACTCTTAGATTAATTAGTTTCTAAATATTTAACTGTTGTTGAATTACATTCTGTACCCCTATTTTACCATTTTTAGCGACCCAAAAAACTTATACTACGTGATATCTTCAGTTGCTTAACTTTAACTATGTGAAAACGCGTATAGTCCCTTCAAATTACCTAGTCAGCTACCTTGACCCGTTCTTTCCCGCCTATCACGTGAGGTACTTATCTAATTAATTAAAACAGGTGAATTCCTAGTATTAAGTGCCTAACTACTTTTTTTTTTATCTACCAACCTAAATTCATTTTATCTTAGAATTTATAATTAATGCCATGTGTTATTACAGTGGTTTTAGGTGGTGTGTAGGTATAAGCAGATAAATAGCTAAACAATATACCAGATTTTAGCATACAAACGATTTTTTTAAATGAGTTGAGTTTCGGTTTCGGCTGAAACTGAGACAAGGGCCGAAAGTTCGGTTTCAGCTGAAAAACCTGTTTCGGTCGGACACTAGCAAAGAAGTACAATAGGGTTGCTACAAACGTAAAAGTAACTAGAATGTGATTTTATTTTAATGAAATCGAAACGCCCTAATGCAATTTGCTAATTACATCGTATGTATTTGATCATATCTTAAACAGACACAAAATTTAAAAAATTAAGGAAGGCAATTTAAATCTAATTTTAAATCTTAGATTGGGTCAAATTAGCAGATGAAAGAGCACAATACTTAAAAATATCAAAATTATCAAAATCTATTTTTTTTAACTATGTTTATTATTTTAGGTACATAATTACTATCAGTAATTTTTAAAATCAAATGTAAAACCCAGGCTACTATCATACTGTATTTTCTTACAAAAACCATTATATAGTATTTAAATTCAAATGGCCTTGCAACTCCAAAGTGCAGTTACCATTCAGGGACCTTGCGTTTTAAATGCAAATTGTTTGTGAGAGTGTCATCACAAATTGTGTGAATCTGTAAATATGCATCGAGGGTTAATTGTGTCCAGTATGGGCGGGGGCCCTGAAGGCCAGCAACGTCGCGATACTGCGGCGACCGCAGCGAATGCTGGCCATCAGGATCATAAGGGGGTACCGCACGATCTCCTTCGAGGCGGCGAGTCTCCTGGCCGGAACTCCACCGTGGGACCTGGAGGCGAGAGCCCTTGCAGCACTGTATCAGTGGCGCAAGGAGGCGCAGGAGTTGGGTCGATACCCCGAGATTCGAGAAATCGATGACCGGAAATCCCAACTCCGCCAGGTCATCATAGGGGAGTGGAGGGAACGACTCGGGCAACCGAGCGCCGGGCACGCCGTCATTGCGGCGGTAAGACCCGTTATGGAGGATTGGCTCGAGAGGCGTCACGGGACCCTCTCATACCGATTGACGCAGGTGATCACTGGGAAGGGATGTTTCGGAGATCACCTGTGTCTGATCCGCAAGGAGCCAACGCCTGAGTGCCACCACTGCGATGGCCAGACCGTGGACACGGCTCTCCACACGCTGGCAGAGTGCCCGGCGTGGGTTGAGCAGAGGCGAGACCTCGTGGCGGCCATCGGAGTGGGAGTTCTCTCGCTCGATAGCCTGATTGCGGCTATCGTGCGGAGCGAGAGTGCGTGGAACTCTGCCGTCTCCTTCTGCGAGCAAGTTATGCTCGCGAAGGAGACGGCGGAGCGGGACCGGGAGAGGTTTAGAACTCTCCCGGCCCGCCAGGCCCGGGCACGGGCCAGGCAGCGCAGGCGACTCAGGCGCCGGAGGTCGCAGAACGACCTTCGTCCTCCATAAGCGCAGGCCTGGGGGTGACAGGTGAGGCCATCTGTCACCCTAGCAGAAGCAGGCCGGGGTGGCGGCGAGCGCGTTGCGAAGCGCGCTCGCTTCCAGGGAGCACAGGGAACATGGGGTTCCCACACGGGGCGGGGGTCGTCTACTCGTCTGTAGATGACCCGAGGTATGTCGGGGCACCAGGGCCTTCCTTTCTAGGGTATACCTGGTTCCCCGGCTATTAGTACCCGGCGAAGGCGTGCGGTTTTAGTCGGTTCGAGTCCGACATGCCACCGACAGGTGGTATCCGAGGGGATTTCCGCACGGAAAAAAAAAAAAAAAAAAAAAAAAAAAAAAAAAAAAAAAAAAAAAAAAAAAAAGGGTTAATTGTGTCACTTAAGATACGCGACACGCGTGTAATGTGAACGTATTACTTGCAGGTGGCTGGGGGGTTGAGCTACAGCCGGTAATCAGATTACATGAAAAGTAACTACTTATAAGAAAGAGCAAGATATGATATAGCTTTTTTTCCCGCAGCTTCAACCCATTAGTGCTATTTAGGCAGTAGTTTTTAGAACGTAAGTATGCGAACCATGATTGTAAATAAAAAATACCTAAATAAATGATACATAATTTTTAAGTAGTTTGTGACTTTAATTTCTACTCACATCACATCAACAGCCTTTAACAGTCCACTGCTGGACATAAGCCTCTCCTTAGAAAGGAGGTTTTGGCCTACTATACCACGCTGGCCAGACGGGTTGGTATAGGGTTTGTGTCAAGTTTTCCTTCTCTTTGCAGTGCTGTTGTCCTGCGTAGTTTGCTCCCGGAGTCGGCTCTTACGACACCCAAGGTATGAATAGGGGTGGTGACACTCTGTATTCTTAATCCGTTACCACACGGACAAATTTCTACTACTGACTATTAATAAATACGAGTATACTTATAAAATTTGTAATCGTAATCTAAAACCATGTGATTCAGTAAACATTTTCACTTATATTTATCTAACAAAAAAATTGTTAATAGTATTATTTGTACTGTACTGTTTCCTAAGATACTAAACTTTACCGCATTTTTTAAGCCACCGAGAGAAGCTTTTAGTGCCTGAAAGAAATCTTATTTGAAATCGTCTTATACCAATCCTTCAACACACCCTTAAACAATAATAATAATACTATTGCACTATAAACAGGTTTTAAATAACTACTAAATTATCAAGAGCAATTGGTTACCATTACTACCTACCAATAGTTGACAGTTAAAATGTACTAACAAAATATAGTTTATATTACCGTCCCTTATAAGAAACATTTAAATGTTTGTTAAATTTAAAACTTTACTTAAACTTGGCCAATTTTTTATACAAACGGGCATGTTTATGCTTGATGATAAATTATCTACCAATTTTTGATAAGCTTACTCGTTATTAATCTCTTGCTTATTACCTATTTTACTTTAGCTCCTTCAGAGGACAGGCCACATTAATCAAGACGTGAAACACAATGGAAAGCTACGAGTTTTTTGCGATCGTGTCTAAAATCCAGTCGGTACTTACTTCCTCTGACTGAGTTCAACTATCGCCCTAACTCCTACAGTTGAAGTATAATATTTATTTATTTATACTTCCTGCAAATACGCAATGTATTAAGTAAGTAAGGCGGACTTAATGTAATAGGCATTTTCTTCTTTTTAATTTTTCTTCTTTTCATTGAAATTTGTGTGTGGCAGGTGTGCAATGAGATAAATTATTTAAAGTTATTATCATAATAATAACAATAATAACGTTTAATTTTTCCAAAAACAAATTTTATAAATGTACCAGCACACCATTGTTTAGCAAAACAACTCTACCGAACATAAAAACCTGCTGCGAACTATTAGCCAGTACATTAGCAGCGCTACGACACGGCCACGAGTCAGTCGACTAACTGAAAATTGCGGCAACAGCAGGCCACGTCGCTGGCTGCCAAACGAACTGTGAAAATAATGGGCACACAGTAATGCGCGTCTTAAATCGACTAATGCACTCGCCGCAACGTCAATGTTGAACTATAATTTACCAGTAAACATTACACACGTAGAATAACAAACTTTGAACTTGTTTGTGCAGTGCTAAAATAATATTGTGGAAGCATAAGAAGTCGATAAAAATGAATAAAAAAATATCAAACAAACTATGCCCACACACGACAAAGTATAATGGTAAACAAGGAACCAATTAGTACGCATTAACTCGTTTACTTGTTACGCTTTATTTTTATAGTTGACCCTTATACCTAGTATCTCAATAAATTATCTTCTCAAAAGAATTCATCGCAAAACTATTATTCAGGTCTGGTAAAAGACACTGACATCTTTATGATTTCGGCAAATGCACAGACATTTTAATGTTGAAATAATCATTTCTTTTTCCACACAAAAGCAGAAAAAGAAACTATTGTATGGTTACAGCTACTATTATACTAATAATATACAAGGCTCCTTATTTAGTAATAGGTGTGTAAGTATGAGACCGCCCTTTTTTGTTAAAATAAAACACATTTGTTTTTTTTACAAAATTAAAGAAGATTTTATTAAAAGTATGCTCCATTTGCAGCTACAACCTTCGCCCATCTTTCAGGTAATTTACGTATTCCATACTACAAGAATTCCTGGTGTTTTGAGCTTATCCAATTATCAAGCCAAATTTTGATACTTTCTTATTATGAAGTAAACTGTTTTCCAGTAAGATCTGTCTGCATCGTCTGGAATAGGAGGTAATCCCAAGGAGCTATGTCTGGCGAATATGGCGGGTGGGGTAATACTTCCCAGTCCTGTCCCTCTAAATATTTTTTTACGACTTCTGCGGTATGCGGTTTGGGATTGTCATGTTGAAGAATTAATTTTTTATGTCTATTCACCCATTCTGCTCGTTTTTCTTCTATGTTTCAGTTTTAGAAGGTTTGAGTAACTCATAATATACAACACCTTTCTGATCCCACCAAATACAGACCATGACACAGTGAATAAAATAATTATTTTTGGCTGTGATGGGACAAGTTCACCTGGTTCCACCCAAGATTAAGATATTTATTTTTCGTCCCCTATTCGATGTGGAACCCAGTTAAAAACTTTTTGAATCATTCCCATCATTTTGAAACACTTTGCAACAGTTGAACGATCAACATTTAATGCTGCAGCTAATTCTGATTGAGTTTGACAAGAATCGTTTGCCAATAATGCTTTCAATTCAGCATCTTTATTTTTTTTGGGAGTTTTGCATGTTCTTTATCCTCAGTGATAAAAACTTTTTATTTTGAAATCATCGAAACTATTCCTTACAAGTTGTATTAGATGGAGCATGCTAACCATAAATCTCCACACACAAACGATAAGTTCCTGCGGCAAGTTCTTCTTAATAAAATAATGCAATAATAAAACCATGTACAAAGTAACGATTTACCATAGCATGCCTGGAGAGGCTGTGACCAAGATCAAGTGTAGATTGCCTTATCCTCGGCATTAAATAAATGTTTTCATGACTACCAATTGTTAGAAGGTACTTACAGATGTCCATGAAAATGGGACACTAGCCTTAAACACACTTGTAGTACTTCTCTTTGCCATTCAAATTTAAATAAAAAGTATTTGTTTAAAAGTTCTAACCGTTTATAACTTTTGAACATATACTTTATACTTTACTTTAAACATTGATGGGGACATATATGAAATAATATATATATATATATATATATATATATATATATATATATATATATATATATATATATATATATATATATATATATAAATATATATATATTTTAGAGCTGATAATATTTTATTTTATTTTTATTTTTACTTATTTGGTACAGTTACAGACAACAGATCATGCCTCACACAGTAATAAGTAACAGCGTATAATTTCAAATCTGAAGTCCAATCAAAACTAAACAGATCATTCACAATCGCGGTGATAGAGCTTCAATTAGGTAGGTAGGTACAAACGCAAAAAAAAAATATTAAATAAGAAAATGAGATGCAGCAAATTGACTAATTAGTTATATCTACAAATGTGTTACTATAATTTTACATTGATGGGTTTATACATTTCAAATTTAAGTAAAAAGCACTTGAATATATTTATACTATCATTAAAAATCTCTATTTGAGAACATATATCGTTATAACGACTACACATTCGAAAAACCGGATTGTTGCGTGATACATTGTTGTTGCTAGTTGGTATAGTAAACAGTTGTGGTGTGCGCACAGATCGCGTTGGCGTCCTGAAGTTCAACATATCAATAAGTTGACAATCTAGGGAACCTTTCACAATTTTGTGTAGGGTACACAAATCGCTCATCCATCTCCTTTTCTCCAGCGTGACCATTAAACTCCTTAAGTCGATCGTTATACTCTTTTAATTTTCGTTTCAAGCCAAACTTAAAACATAATGCTCTCACAAACCGCTTTTGTATTGCTTCTATTCTTTCTATGTGAGCATTGTAGATAGGCATCCATACAGACGAGCAATACTCGAGTAAACTTCTTACCAGGCAGTAGTATAACGTTAGTAATGAGCTAGCTTTTTTAAAAGGTCTCGCATTCCGAAGTACAAAAGATAGTATTCGGTTTGCCTATATGAAGGTATTCAGTTACAAAAAACAAACAATTTGTGATTAACGTAGTAGGCCACTTTACAACAAAAATAGTAATTAGCACATTAGGTTTAACAATTAATTGGTTGATAAATGATTACAGATACAGTATATACATCCAGTATACCTACACATTACAACACACTCATAATACCTTTTCGGAATGTGGCAAGCGAGTCTATGAAAGCAGAGTAAGCTGGGTCAGCTATCTAAGAAGTATAGCTGAGTCAGCACCAAGTGCGGTTCTACGAAGCGGCGGATACAGCGGAGTTATGGGTGATAGGGGATTTCTAATGGGAACACGAAATTTAAATTTGTTCGTTCAATTTTATTTAGCAAGAACTTTAACATAAACATAGTGTCAATTATGTCTGCAACGAAGTCATGTTAAAATGTGTTAATCTGCTATCATATGACTTTATTTTGTGAGCCTTTATTACCTGGGGTAACGGACAAATTCCATAGAAACATTTTCTGCACCAGCTCCAATCTTAAGCTATGGCAAGCGTAATGTGGTCGCCAGACTGTACTACAATTCTCCAGTATAGTTCAAACGAGATCTATGAAACGAAACAGTAGAGTATGATCTTTTTATTGTGCGATTGAAAAACTCTGACGTTTTTAGGCAACGCATGTGTGGTACAAATGAAAGCTTGCTATCAAATAACACTTCCAAGATTTTTATTTCGGTCGGTAATACATGGATGGCAAAGGGTAGGGCTTTCTTTAGAACTTAATATGGTAACAGTTCTTGGTATTAAAGCTCATAAGTTGTTATTGCACCAATTAGCAAATATCTTATTGTCCTCTTGCAACAATTTTACATACTTTAAGACTACTGTTTTACAGAATTTAAGACCATTGGCAAACATATAATAATTAGATGAGCGGAAGCAGCGAGTAACAATATTGATATAATAATAATCATAGGTATAAATTAAATAAAATAATCGGTCCAAGATGCGAGCCCTGCGGTACGTCAGAAACTATTATATGTTTGTCTTATTCAAATCTATTGACTGCCACAAAGTAAGAACCAATCAAGGAAAGTACTGGTGACGCCATACATTGCCAATTTATAAAAAGCATTTCATGCGGTATTTTATCAAACGCCTCACTAATAATAATATATTTATAATTATTTGTAAGTATATACTTGTAAAATATGGGCATATATACGTATAATGTATGTACAGGTTGACCCTGAATATAGGACATACATATATTATATTAGTTCAGTGCAGATGCAGTGTATCCTCATAGCGATGAAGTCATTTTACCTAAACTACATGGTTTTGTCATTCGGCGATCTACTTGTACTATCCTTATGACTTTTGTTGGGTATTTATTTTCAAATATGGATAAGCAAGTGCAGATAGATGCCGTATATATAGATTTTCAAAAAACATTTGATAAGGCCGAGCACACGTTCTTATTGGATAAAATTGCTTTAAAAGGTATACGGGGAAATTTTACTTCGTTGGTTTATGTTATATATTTTTAATAGAACACAAAGGATCGTTCTTAATGGATACTGTTGCTAGTTCTGGAGTTCCACAGGGGTCGATCACGGATCCGTTACTTTTTATGATTTTTATCAATGACATGAAACATTGTTTTAAGTACTCGGACTTCTTAATGTACGCCAACGATATTAAAACAAAGCTACTTAAAAGATACATTTTCAGAACCGAACTTTTTACTTTGTTACTGTATTATGTTATCCGGTTAGTTTCTCGCCTCATTTTGTGAGTTATTTGTATGTACGTGCCGTTTATTTGTGGTGTCTGTCATACCTTCACGTTGTTGATAGCCAGTGCGGGCCCAACAAACTATTATATGTCCTTGGTGAGACACGCCGGAAATTAAAACTGTAGAAAAGTCTAGCGGGACATTAACTCGTCCGGAGAAAGGGATTTAATTTAAAATTTGTTGCTTTTGTTGTTTGCGGAAGGTGAATAAGTGCTGGTACTTTCCGGGGCCCGACGCAAAATGTTTTTAGTGATGGTTGTTTAAAATATTTCTTGTTTAAATGGCTTTAAAATGAAAGGCTGAAGTTAAATAATTTATAGGGATTCTTTCGCAAAAGTTATTTATTTGGATAAAGTGTTATAAATCTAAAGTTATAATATTAAAGTTATAAATCTTTTTATGCAATTTCTCTGCTTGGAGTGTTGTGGAATTTTGCTTGCCATTTCGAATTGACGCAATTTAAAATTCTTTGCGTAGTTACACAAGAGTTTACATTTATCGGTTTAATATTTTTCTGGAAAAACTGATTCTATTTGGTTTCACTTGGTTTCTTTTTTATTCACTGCGAAGTTTCTACTTAACAGCGAATCAGAGGCTTTTAAAAGTTTATTTAATGCTCCTAGCATAATAAACAGCCATCAAAATTTGAGAAACATATAATCCTAACTCGAAGCTAAAAGCCGCTAACAGAAGCTAAAGTCGTCACAAAATAAGATGCCCGTTTTGACGTTTCTCATTTGACATGCCGCGATAACTTTGTATGAACGTCGATGTAAGAAATTGAAAAATCAAATTCATAATCCTATTTAATTACTATGTTACCTATACACTATCACAACGCGTATCATAAATAAGCATCAAGTTAAACTTTATATTGAAAAAATGCACTCAAAAACACAAATTAATCGTTGATTAATATTCCGACAGGACTTTACTACAATGTCATGTCTTTGGGTTGGTTGCCGTAGTGTTGTAACCGTTAAAAAGCCGTTTTATGGCCGAATAAAATAGGATTTCTGAAAATCGTTTACAAAAATTACATTAAAAAAAAGAGACAAATGTGTAATTATAGTGTATTATTTAATATTTAAACATATAAAAACAAAATCTGATCACATATAGTTTTAGCTTTATTTTGATATTTAATAAGAATATTTTGATATTATACTAAATGATTTGGTTAAAAAAGCCGTACATAATTTGGTTCCTTTCTCTATGTACCTATAGAATGGTTTGTCTATGACCAAGCGGCACGTGATCCATGCGCGTACCGCGTACTGCGCAGTCTTTTGTTCGACATCTTGTGAAGTTGACTGTGCGCTCGTTTATGTTTGATATTTTTTCTAGACTCGGCTTTGCTTTTGGACTGTTTTTGTTTACTATCACGTTGACCTTGGCTCTTCTATTCCGGACATTGATTAGACATAGCGATTTGGACTCGATTTTGGTGTTTGTTGTTATATTGTACAAACTCTGTTTCAACATGTCGAAAAGAGGACGTACAGTCAACAGCCAATCACGCGAATTGGTTGTGAAGTTAACCGAATACTTCGAACGCGAATCAGTTAATGGTGGACCATTATTACCCGTAACTCAAGAGCAAGATCGCGTAGCAGAAGCACTTGGAATCGGCAAAAAAACAATTCGAACCATTGAAGGAAAAGTATGTGTCTTTCGGTACTGAAGAAAATGTGTTACACACGCCTAAGAGGAGGAAGAAAAGCAAGACTGTAACAGGTATTGACACATTTGACGCAGATGCTATTCGAAACGACATATATGCTTATTACACGAAAAGTGAGTACCCAACTGCAAGTAAGTTGGTGGTATCACTAAGAGAGGCTGGCCTGTTTAGTGGCAGTGCAACATCTTTAATAACAATTATGAAGCAAATTGCTTTCAAATACAAGAAAACCGACAAGAGAAAAATTATGATGGAACGATATGATATAATTTTGCACAGAGTATCATTCTTGAGGGAAATGAACAAAATTACAAATTGGGATAATGTCATATTTATCGATGAAACTTGGCTGAACTCGAATCATACCGTGCCACAGTCATGGACGGATGATACCAAGGCATCTTGTTCAAAAGTGCCAATGGGTAAAGGTGGACGCCTAATAATCTGCCATGCCGGAGCAGCCCGGGGGAGGTTTTGTACATGATGCTCTACTCGCAATCGAGTCCGGAAGTACAAAAGAATACCACGAAGAAATGGATGCAAATAAATTCTTAGAGTGGTTTACTAAGTTGTTAATAAACCTCCCCGAACAGTGCACAATAATTATGGATAATGCACCTTACCATTCCGTTCAAATAGATAAGGCACCTACTCAAGCAAGCAAAAAGGCAGATTTAGTGGCGTGGTTACAAAGAAAAGGCGTAGAAGCTGACATGAATTTATTGAAAGCTGAACTGCTGGAATTAGTAAAACAAAATAAACCTGCAAAATTAAGATATAAAATCGATGACTTGGCACTTCAACATGGTCACAAATTGATAAGAACGCCGCCGTACCATTGTCAGTATAATTCATTTCTATTCTGTCACAAAAAAAATATCGTGAACGTCTTCCACGTGCATAATTATTATTCTGTGAGGTGAAGCATGGCAGTCACGCTAGAGGAATGTACCAGAATCCTAACTTTTTTGGAACTTGGGCGGAGCCAGCGTGAAACAGCCAGAAACATTGGTGTATCTTTGTCGACTGTTCAGCGGGTAGTCCAGCGGTACCAAGAGACCGGATCACACCTTAGAAGACCAGGAAATGGCAGACCAAGATGCACAGTGGCCAGGGAAGACAGACGACTGGTGGCTACAATGCTCCGAAATCGTTTTCAAAACTGCTGTTGGTCTAAAAACTCACTTTATTCGCTTTGGAGGTGGCAATTTAAGCGCTCAAACAGTAAGAAGACGTCTTGCTGAAGCAAATTTGAAACCATTGAGGCCCGCAAATGGCCCCAAACTGGAACGGGGACATCGAATTGCAAGACAGAGATACGTGCGCGAGCACCTAACTGGACACAAGACGATTGGTCTAGGGTAATGTTCACGGACGAGTCTAAATTCATGCTTTATAAGCATGATGGGAGGAAGTTGGTGTACAGAAGACCAGGGGAGCGCTTCCATCAAGCGTGTGTGGAGGAAAAAGTGGCGTACGGTGGAGGCTCCGTACAAGTTTGGGCTGGGATTTCTACTGAGGCCTGCACCGAGCTGGTACTCATTCAAAATGGAACTCTAAATGCAGAGAGGTACGTGAAAGAGATCCTCAATGAACATGTGATGAACTTTCATGGCCAGGATGGACCGGCATGGCATATTAATGCAAGATAATGCGCGTCCCCATACCGCCAGAATTGTACATGACTACCTTGAAGAGGTCGGTATCGAACTCATGCAGTGGCCAGCGCGAAGCCCGGACTTAAACCCCATCGAGCACGCCTGGGACGAGCTTCAGAGATACGTGAAAGGTCGAAACCCCCCACCAATCACGCTTCCCGAGCTCAAACAAGCACTGGTGGAGGAATGGGAAGGTATGCCTCAGCACCGGCGCCGAAATTTGGTGTATAGCATGCCTAATCGCCTGGAAGCTGTCAGAAGAGCTCGTGGAGGCAATACAAAGTATTAAATGAAGAAAGTGATGAAAAACAGCAAAAAAAACAATCATAAGAAAAAGACGTGTGGCACTCGGGGACTGCCGCGGTAAAGCTATTGCATAGCATTTTGTATCAACTTATGCAATTATAATTATTTATTTATTTTATTTATGCAGTATTTCTTTTTCTTTGATACTAATTCAAGTTACACTTTTTGAGCTTGGTGACCGATAAAAAAACATTTTTTTTTCTTTTATTAAATAAAAATATTGAAGCATATATTACAATTTGTTTTTAAATAAATAAATAAAAAATATTATTATTAAATCAAATTACATATCCATGTAAGATTTTTCTGCATTATGTTGACGAAATTTCCTTTGACGTTCAGCATTTGATTTTGGTACTGTTTTTTGTTTTGTTGTTAGCGTGAGGTTTTTTTTCGTTACGGAATTTCTGGATTCGGTCCCCGCGCTCAAGGCCCTCGATAGAAGCTATGCAATAGCTTAAAAATGTTATCTTAAGAAAAATATGACTACTTTAGTTTTTTTTAATTTAGAGATAAGTTAAGAGTTAGAGAGTTTAGATTTAAGTTTTATTTTATTTTTTATCTGTATAATTAAATTCTCAATTGAACAGTCTTCGTTTCATTAGGATGGCATACGTAGTTCGGGAGATATTCGGGTTTATGTGACTGACCCGTTATTTTTGGAACCGAGTTTATATAGTGCGGGAGTAGTCTTTTAATATAACTTATAAATAATAATTATCTTTATTACTGTTTGAAACTTACTACTCATGCTTTTACTCATATTTGCAAATAATCATAAACTGCTAACAATGGGACCACAATTGACTCTGAATCAACTTTAAAACTAAATAGTTTACTGATATCCCTAGCAAATTCATTAATCTGGAAAATGTTTACAGGAAATCGCAATATTCTAAGACTACCTATACAACGACCCCGTCAAATCTCCAATATTTTCAAATTAAAAAGTTTTCTTGTTGACTACCAAACTATAAAATTAGTTTGTACCCACTTTCGTCCCACGTAAGAACTGATTTCACGATCACAGCACTACAGTAACTAATTTCAGTCTTCAAAATTATTGGTAGGTCATTTTACTATCGTAAAGTAATATAAATAAGGTTATCATTATCTTCCCCTATCATGGTCACTCAAGTATAAGCGCATGTGATGAAAAAAACGAAAGAACATAAATTGGCAGTTAGCGGTGTATCATTGTGAGAGACACACTTCAGTCACAACTGCAACCATACCACGTGAGTTATAACATCAATATATATATATTGGTGTGTAGATATAATATTATATTATTTCAATGTTTACGTAACAAATTGTAATGTTTCTGTTATTGCTGCAACACACGGAAATAATGAAAACAATCACCGATCCAAACAGACTAAAATTATTACTTACATTTCATAAATGATTCCCATAGATAATCTTCCTGACAGAGCAAAAGGAAATAAAGACTTTGTCGCAACGCAGTATTGCGCAGTGCCATTTATCTATTCCACACATAATATATTTATCCCGAAGCATAATGATCGAAAAAGCGAATTTCATAAGTTTAGAAATCAAAATATTTAGTCAACAGACAATATCATGGAACTCTAAATTTGCTTCGTAATTGTAAACATCCCCAAAAGTTATAAATATTTTACATGTCAAAAGATTTGTTCCTTCTGGATTTAATGTCTTTGTGTAAACTGAACTGCAAATCTCATTGCAGTAACCTAAGGACAAAAGAGAATTTAATGACAAAGGAGGAATATGAAAGTGTTCTTACTACTTTTTCTGTAGTTCTGACCGAAGTCATTTGTAAATGGGAATATGTGTGTAATATGAGGGATATAGGAGTGATGTTGCAAACTTTTGCTAAATATGTATCTTAGAATATCCTATGACAGTTTTCTCTGTAGAACGGCATTCTTCTATTTCTTCAAACATTTTTTGAAACTAAAGTCTTCAACTTAGTTTGGTGTTTGTGTTTAGTTCGGCATCATTCGTCATACTGTTCCCATGAGCCCATTCCCCCAGGAAATCTCCTAAAGACATGGTGTCCCTTCACTCATAGATAGGTTTCTCCAGAGAAAGTGTAAACTTCAACGCATATTGGCAAGGCGTACCGTGCCTAAAAATAATCTGAAACATGTTTAAAAAAAAGAATGCTGATTGTTCGGTTGACAAAGATTGCCATGGTCAGAAACATGCTTCGTTGTCGCTTTCTTACAGGACTTCAAATTAAATAAGTCTCAACGCCTCAGAGGAGGTAACTTTAAACCCGAACCATAAGATGACGATTTGCTGATGCTAAATTAAAACCATTAGACTTCATTAGACTGTTCTGAGAAGAATTTGAGAAAATCACAAAAAAATATGAATAAATAAATGAGATAAATACATTTTATTTATTGCATCTAATTCCGTTAACAAAAACAATTTGTTTCGATTTTCGGATCGAAATCGTGAAGCCAGGTCTTTATGTGGGGACCCATGACATTACCGTTACAAAATTGTACTGTGCAAGCTCAGACCGTGGGATGCAGGCCCTGGACCCGGAGTTTGTTGGAAGAGTGGTACATACCCTCTTCCCCGGGGACCGGGACAGTTCTCTCATGACCTCCGTCACCGTTGGAACCGATAACGTGATACGACGACCTTGACGTGACAGAGAAAGAGCTGGACCAAGCTGTAAAGCAACTCGCCTCCCTCAACACCGCCCCGGGCCCTGATGGGATCCCGAACCAAGTATGGGTGTGCGCTTTGATAGTCCTAGGTCCTACTGAGGCGGCTGTTTACCAGCTGCCTCCGTAATAGCGTATTCCCTGCTGGCTGGAAGGAAGCCAGGCTGGTACTTATCCCGAAACCTGTCAGGGATGCAGATGCTCTCACAGGGTCGTAAGAGGTAATCTGTCTGTCTGAGCGGAGTGGCGTTGGCCGTTAGTCTTGATATCATCAACGCATTTAACTCTCTACCGGGGTGGGCGATTTGGGAGGCACAGGCATCACCCGTTTTAATTCTTTTTATTCCGCTATGTTTTATTAGGATCAGTACAGCTATTAATATACATTAAGAACTACAACAGATAAAGCTTTTGAGATAAGATAACGACCTTTCGTAATACTTAATTCCACAACAATTATTTTTATATATGAGATGAGTAATAAATGAAGTTATTATGTACGAGTACAGAACAGAAGAGTACCGGTACAGAAAAAAATATCAACATCTCAAACTACGAACTAGCGTCTTGTTATTGTAGACAAAACAAAAGAGGAGGTACATGCATATTGATTAAAAGGGGTGTTCCATTCAAAAGGCTAAATTGTTTTGATGAATTTCGGATGACTTTTCATTTTGAACTTTGCGCTATCAAGTTGGAAACACACAACGTAATAATAATATGCATTTACAGAATTCCTTCAAAAAATAGCAGACATCTTCAATATTTTTTGCAAAACTTGAATCTTATGCTATTTAAATACCTATCTATTTATGTTAAAAGTAGTATTATAATAACCGGGGATCTGAATATAAATACTCTTGACCTGCAGAAAGACATTACCAAACAATTTATGGACATTTTAAAAAAATACAATTTAATATCTCACATCTCTGACCCCACCAGAGGCAAATCGTGCATTGACTTAATTATTAGCAACATTAGGATTGCAGAAGGGTCACTTCTGCCCTTATGGTTATCTGATCACAACACTGCACAATTACTCACATGGCCTGTAATGTATAAAAATAAAATACCTGAGTTTGTATTTAATTTTAAAAGGTGTTACTCTATCGAAAATATTACTAAGTTTTGTCGGTATCTACCTAGTATTCAATATTTGAAATATTACAATGAAACTGATCTGAATCTAGCATTTAACATATTCTATGATTACTTTTGCTTATTGTATCAACTTTGTTTTCCGATTATTAAGGTAAAAATATGGTTATCAAAAAAAAATAATTGGATGACAAAAGGACTACGTAAAAGTTGTAGTTATAAAAGAAAATTGCGGCATAAATATTATTTCACTAAATCTAAAAAAGATAAACATATTTATCTAAGGTATGACAAACTGTTAAAAAAATGTATTAATACAGCTAAACGAAAAACAAATAGAGATTATGTTGTCAATAGTAAAAATAAATGTAAGGCGACCTGGTCAGTTATTAAGAGTGAAGCGAGTTCTGCAAATAAGGGCAATCACATTACTGAGATACACAAAAAAGGTGAAAAAATTACAGATCCATTACAAATAGCTAATGAATTCAATCAGTATTTCATATCAACAACTAATACATTGAATAGCGACATTCATAATACATGTACTAAACACAAACAAAAGAACTCAATGTTTTTGTCACCGGTAGACGAGTCGTTCATACATAAAATAATTATGTCTCTTTCTAATACAACATCTGAGGGTTACGATTCTATATGTACAAAAGTTGTAAAAATGTGCAGCTATCAACTAACTCCTATGCTTACATTTCTGGTGAATCTTTCATTAGAGACAGGGACTTTCCCTCAAAAGCTTAAGTACTCAGTTATAAAACCTCTGCACAAAAAAGGAGACAAAACGACACTGAGTAACTATCGCCCTGTTACAGTACTGCCAGTGTTTTCAAAAATATTTGAAAAAGTTATGCATGAGAAACTTACATCTTTCTTCAAGATGAACGGTGTTATTGTGGGGAACCAATTCGGTTTTCAAAGGGGAAGATCTACCAGAGATGCAGCTTTCTCTTTGGTCAACGACATCCTTCAGAGTGTCAATGAAAAAATGTACACAACGGTGATGTTTCTTGATATGTCTAAGGCTTTTGATTTTGTTTCACATGTGCAGCTTCTGATGAAACTTGAGCATTATGGTGTTAGGGGACCAGCTTTGAATTGGCTAAAGACATACCTAGATGATAGATATCAATGTGTTGATGTGACACAATTAACCGCCAAAGACTGTATTGAAGTAAGGAGATCCAACTATGATTTAAATAAATTTGGAGTTCCCCAGGGCAGTGTGTTGGGCCCATTACTCTTCCTGGTCTACATTAACGACTTGCCAGAAGTTACTCACCATAACACTATACTATTTGCTGATGATGTGTCAGTAATAGTAACTACAAATAAAAATCTGACAATTGCACAACACGAAAATGACATCAATAATACCTTGACATCAATTATAAATTGGCTGAATTATAATAATTTACAAATTAATTTATTAAAAACGCATATAATTAATTTTAATAATTTAAATGACGATAACATACATGTAAATTACAATGGACTAAGCATCTCGATGGCTAACAATACGACATTTCTTGGCATAGTTATCAATGATAAACTTAACTGGAAGGAACATATAGACAAAGTCGCAAACAGGATAAATGGATTCTCTTTCGCTCTGTACAAACTGGCAAAAGTATCTTGCCAAATGACAGCATGTACAGCGTACCTTGCGTATGTCGAATCTGTGTTAAGGTATGGGTTGTTGGTATGGGGTAACGGTACAGACATAGATAAGGCCTTTATAGCACAAAAACGGTGCATTAGGTCCATATGTGATATCGCTCCGGACGTATCTTGTAGGCCATATTTTAAAAAACTAAAAATCCTCACGTTACCGTGCTTGTACATCCTCGAGGTATGCAAATTCATAAGACAGCACCCTCGAACATTTAAGCAAGCGAAGGATGTCACCAAAAGGAGCAACATTAGAAATCCAAATAGACTTGTGTTGGACATGGTACCTAAGTCGAAAAGAATTCAAAAAAATTGTTACGCGATGTGCATTAAAATCTTCAATAAAATCCCAGAACGATTTAAAGAACTACCATTAAATAAGTTCATTCCAGCCCTGAAAGATTGGTTAATTACAAATACATTTTATTCGGTCAAAGACTTTTTGAATGGTGGAGAGTAGTAGGTATAATTAATAAAAGTGAAATTATAATCAATACACAAACACTGATGAATAATGATGATAATAATAATAATAATATATAATAATGTTAAATTAATAATAATAATAATGTTAAATTTGCATGCTATCTTTATGGCTAAATGGGCCTGTTCGCAATATATTGAACCTTTAATACCACAACATGTACCACCCCATTTATAGCAAATATATAATTTGAATTTGAATTTGAATTTGAGTAATATGTTTTTATTAAAAATGATCAAAAAAAGCGTATACCTTTTACTTTTACTATTATTTAGCTAATTAAGAGTTAAAGAATGCCTTCGGTATCTGTAACAAAATTTGTATCAAAATACCACAAAAATTATGCAGTCAGTCCTTCTCTAATTTAGTAAAATCGAGCATATAAAATTTTTCTATGAGCATATAAAACTTTTCCATGGCCATATAAAGCACAATCAGCGATAAAACAATCTTAATTCAATTCTTAAAACTCTTTAAGACTTATTAAAGCCTCAATTACGTCGTTAATTGCAACGTGATTTAAATAACATAACTACCTTTATTTAAATTTAGAATGTAAACTAGGGAAGCATGCCTTTACATACTCGTAAACATAAAATTAAATCGCTTTTTACCTTGTACGCCTTTTTTTCCGTGCGGAAATCCCCTCGGATACCACCTATCGGTGGCGTGTCGGACTCGAACCGACTAAAACCGCGTCTCGGGTACTAATAGCCGGGGAACCAGGTATACCCTAGAAAGGAAGTCCCTGGTGCCCCGACATACCTCGGGCCATCTACAACAAGTAGACGACCCTCCCCGTGTGGGAACCCCATGTTCCCTCTGCTCCCTGGAAGCGAACGCGCTTCGCAACGCGCTCGCCGCCACCCCGGCCTGCTTCTGCTAGGGTGACAGATGGCCTCACCCGTCACTCCCAGGCCTGTTTATCTTGTACGCCTAGATCTTGCGAACTACGCAACGGATTTTAATGCGGTTTTCACTCAAAGAGTAATTCAAGAGGCTGAATTTGAAAGAATTTGGAAAGAAAATATATATATCATCATCATCATCAGCCTATTGCAGTCCATCGCGGAGCGGACCTAAAAATATTGCGTAAAAAAGATTATTGCGTAAAAAAGATATCTTGTAGTATAGTCTTATCATAATAAAAGTAGGTTTCATGAATTACCCCGCACGGACACGACATTAGTAGTATCTATATTGCTGGCGTGCGGAGCCGGCGCAGATCGCTAGTTACAAATAAAATACAAAGGTACGAGTATCTGATAAGTAAGGAGTAAGTTTGTGTCAACACGTCATCTAACCAAAGAATTATACCAACCTATAGTGGAGCTTTTCTGTCAAACCTGAATTTTATTTACGCAATTAACCTGCATTAGGTTGTTTCAAAAGCCTTTTGGTAATGTGTAATAGAACTTTCTATCATTAAAAGAAGTCACGATTAGCCGCATTGCCATCACAGTGTTTGAAACTAAGTATAATGTGATATACAAAACGATCTGTACACTCTCATTGAGTGGTTTCAGAACAATTTGTTAACTTTAAATACATCAAAAACAAATTATATAAATTGAGTGCAAAAAATAGGGCCTCACAGTCATTTATACATTAACAGCGAACCCATCGTCAGAGTTAGTTCAGAAAGTTCTGTCTAGGCCTAAGCCTATACAGGCATCTCACATAGCAACCGCATACGAGTATAAATAAAAAAGAATCTAAGCTTTCAACAATTATGAATCTACTCCGAGGTAACGCTCGCTGCTTTCCAAAATCCGTAAGATAGATCATATAAGATACAATGGTAAAACCTCATCTCGAGTATTTAATATAAGTTTAGGGAAAAGCTGCTAAAAGTAACCTAAAAACATTGCAGATATCCCAGAACAAAATCATTAAAATCCTCTTCCACTACAACTATATAATGCCTACAAAAAATATACAAAGAAACACAATTCATGACTGTCTACCATTGATATACATTTTGTATATCAATGCTGTCTACTAGTACGAAAAATCTTAGACAAATTATCCATACTATACATACATAAAAGGAAACAATCAAATAAGAACAACAAGATAAAAAAAACATTTAAGTTTAAGGCACCCACGAACCAACCACGTTTCTTTCCGTAAGAAACATATGTTATATGAAGGAGCCCAACTATGTATATAACAAATTACCAAAAAACATGAAAGAAATGCAATCAATCGATTACCCGCTTGCTATCATACATCGATACGTAATACGACCCGACACCTTTATATTTTCTTTTTAATGTACCTACATTTTAGTTGTATAATTTAGTACAATGGTTGGTGTCACCGTCAAATACGCTCGTAGATTACTATTAAGTTCATAATTTGTATTTCTCAATATAAGTGAATTGTATTCTTTTTGAGAAATAAATATATTAAACCAGATAATTAATTGCTTTCCAGCTTTCAAAATGGCTCTGAATTTGTTGGTGCCTCCACCAAAGATCGAAGACAGAGAGTACGTGAAGCCATATCTTTGCGGATCAGGGCCTGCTGACGTTTGGCCGTCCGTCTTTGAGGCTTACGCCAGGAAAGTCACCACTCCTGCGTCTGATGAGTATTATCACGTATGTTCAATTGCGTTACTCTATTCTACCTTAACTCTTTCTGTAGACTGAACATTTCTGATTGCGCTATTTCTTATCTTACGTAATGGATAGAAATGTAGATTTTTTTAGCCTGAAAAGAAGGGGAACACCCAAATACTCCGAAATATTTTATTCCGATTTTTAAAAGTCCAAATTTCATAAAACTTAAGAATTATGATTTTTAAAATTCACGAAATTTATTTTACCGAAAGTAGTAAATGCGATTTATTTGAATCCCGATTTTTATACGTTCGAAGAATCAAATGCTCGATGGGTCCTCGGACCGAAAACCATATGCCGATTTTCCATACTTCGAAAGAACTGCTAAAATTAGGATACTGTTAGTATAATATTTAGTTACAAATGTAAATTTAAAATATTTAAGTAACGTTTAAAATAATTTAAAAAGGTTTACTTTGTTATTAATATGTGTGTATTATTTTTTTTTTGTGTTTTCTTCTTCTCCTTATACCTGCGTTGCGTACCATCTACTGTTATTGAATTCGTATTTCTGTAGTGTATCCGAAAGAAAGATATAAACTGCACATATGAAGTGCTGGCAGTGTGCAATTATTATGAATTTTATTTTAAAAATAATAATAACCTCCACGGGGGACCACCTTGACGAGGTGGGAGGGCTTACGGGAAGGCTTGAACTTATTACACGATCATTAACAACTTGACTATACCCTGTAACAGGATCTACAAACATTATAAAAAATAGCCAACAATAACAACGTGGCTTATCCTTTTCTAAATAAAGGTCCCAAACCCAGAAAATGAAATATGGTCTTAACAAGAAGCAGTACGAAACGGGCCCAAGTGGCCGGCGGACCCAGTACCAGTCATGGCGACGATAGCCAGCCTGCGACTGAGCCCAGGGGTACAAAGAATCTCCGGGTGGGAAGAAGAACTTGTCAAACAACTCTAGCTATCCATGAAGACTTCGATAACTTAAACGATACCCCATTGACTCCATCACCATTTCATTCATTCGAATCACTTTCTTCACCCCCATTGTCTTATAAGTCTTCAACGTCATCAATTATTGAATCTACTTTTTCTGAGGATGTTGTGCAGGGGGCACACTATCCTCAGAAAAAGTCGCCTGCCATTACGCCTGCACCCGCCCCAGGTGCAAACCGTACGCGAAAGAGATGGTCTCAAGAAATTAACGAAAAAATCTGGTGCACATATCTTATAGCTACAAAATTAAATACTAGTAAAGTATACTTTAATCACCTACATTACGAATTCACACAAACATACCCACAAATGCAGGCATCTAAACAAAGACTGGGAGTTCAATGCCGAGTTATAATTAGAAAAAAACTTCTACGTCAACAGACATTGGCAATATTAAAGATGAAGTTTCCACTTGCCTACAACAAACACAAAATACACAAATCAATTTCATGATACTACAATATCACATAATTAGAATTAAATAGAACAGCCTATCGTAAACCCCTATTTAAGCAGATTTTGCAGAACACCCTGATTTGTCAAGAGTTATCGAACAAAGGATAAGCGATCAACTCAGAGTAGATACTACTGGAACTCATAAAAAATAAACTGATGAGTAAACAACGACAGCAAGAAATAGGCAACGAGATGGCAGGTACCACTGTTCTACAAAATACTAATCAAGAATACTGCATTACACAAACACACATAACACCAACAACTGCATTACAACAAGAAAACAATAGCCTAGAGACGGATTTATTAGATAGATTGTTATCTTAAAATTGCAAATCCATAACTTTAGGGCCTAATAAAATTGAAGAACAATTTAAAACTACAGTACTTAAATTTAGATATAGTGACCAACGATTAGAGCATATATACTAAAACAAAAAATTGCGCATTTTATTCACACTGTCAAACCTCATCTCCCTTGAACAAGAAAATGTTACAAAGGCAGAAAAGGTTACAGAATAAAATACAAAATTAAAGGAAAGACATTGGAAGGATGACAGAATATATTAGAGGAAATAGCAGCGAAAGAGTTAGAAGATTAGTTGAAAAAATAAAAGATAAACACCTAATCCATTCTCAATACAAACAAAATAACTTAAGTAATGAACATTTCCTCGACACTCTCAAACAAACACTTAATGCAGCTACAAGTAGATTAAAAAGATATATAAACTGTACACTCAGAAAAATACAAAACAGCCCATTCACTAACAATGAAAAACATTTTTATAGACATTTAGCTTTAAACACAACACAATATACAGATAAAAACATGCTAGACTCAGTAACGACACCGCTTGATGAACTGCATTACTTCTGGTCCAATAATTGGTTAAAACCTGTACTTCATAATTCACAAGCTAATTGGCTTCAGAACAATACCTCCCCAACAGACTCTATTATCCCCATGGATTTTAAACAAATTCCTGTAGAAATATTTATAAATGTACTGAAAAACTGCATAACTGCAAGGCACCCGGCAGCGATCGTATTCACAACTACTGGTATAAGAAATTTTCATTTTTTATCCTCTCCTACATAAACACATCAACACTTTCATTCAGTCACCAGATGTAATGCCACATTATATAAATGAAGGCCTCGCCTACATGATCCCAAAAGACACAGACTACCAGAATCCAGCTAAATATCGCCCTGTCACATGTTTACAAACAATATATAAAATACTTACAGCAGGCATTGCGGAAATAATTTAGCAACATGCCAGCGAAAATAGTACACTTCCAGAAGAAAAGAAGGGATGCCGTAAAAATAGTCAAGGTTGCATAGAACAGCTATTAATAGACTCAATGGCAATGAAACTAGCAATTTAGAATGAGAAAAATAAAAGCATCATGTACAAAAACTATAAGAAAGCGTATAAAATTTTCAGTAACTAATGGAGAAATTACTTCAAGCACCTAAATGCTACAGATGGGAGAAACAATTGAACCTCTAGAACCTCACCATTTATACAAATACGAGTATTTAGGATTCCGACAAGACAGACAATTAATCAAAATGAAACAAAAGGCACTTCAAATAAAACAAAAGAAATTCAAACATAGGCTTAATATTATACTCCGTTCTGATCTACTCCTCCCGTATAATAATGGTCCAAAGCTGAACTCATGATCCTTCAACTCACTATAAACACAACATTAACAGCTCACAGAAAACACCACCCTAGATCTTGCATACAACGGATAACCCAGCCGCGAGAAAAAGGCGGACGAGGCATAATAGATGTTAAAAATTTACTCAACAGACCAAATCACTCAGACAGTACATTCAGCAACGACCGCAAAACTATACTAGACGAAGTTGTAACGTATGCAGACAGACGCTTGATCCACAGTGCAATTAACGGATTATTGAAATCAAGGAAAAGGTTACCATATGGCAGCAGAAATGCCTACACGGTAGACATCGCCACGACCTGCAGCAACCTAATGTCAACATTGTTAAGTCGCACGAATGGCTGCTGCCTGGAGCCCTGTATTCTGGGACAGAAGCATTCTTGATTGCATCCAAGATCAAGTCATTGATACGCGAAACTGCCAAAAGCATATAACACGTCCACAAAATCTCACTTCAGACGCTTGCAGACGCTGCCATGCCTGTCCCGAAACCATTTAAATATAACCTCAGCTTGCAAATCTCTTGTTCAAATCAATCACAAATATCGACATGAACAAGTAGCCACCATAGAACACCAACATCTTGCTCACAAACATCACTTTATAGGCAAAACGTTACCCTATTACAAATACCAGCCAGAGACGGTACTACAAAATAATAACATCACAATATACTGGGACAGAATCATCATAACCGACAAGACAATTCATTTCAAAAGACCAGGCATAACACTTCACAACAAAGTAAACAAAATTGTATATCTCATAGACATAGCAGTACCGAACACCCATAACGTCCAATCTACGATAGCTGAAAAATATACCAAGTATCAGGATCTAGCAATAAAATTGAAAAGGCAGTGGCGAGCAGTAAACATCTATATAGTTTCAATAGTCATATCGTCAACCGGAATAATACCCAAAAGCCTTCAACGTGGCTTAGACATTTTAGAAATGCCACAACATTTTCTACACCTACTCCAGAAAGCAGTGTTATAAATCACCTGCAAACTTACACGGAAATTTCTCACCACATCTGCAGTTTCGTAAACATACACCATTAACTAAATTCTGATTACACTTGACTATCCTCGTGTAATCAGATAATTTTACCCCTTTAAGGGAGATTAACAAAATAATAATAATAAGTTTATTTGCATGAAATGTGGTGCAAAAGATGTTAAGTAAATTAAATAGCATGCAAATATTTAGTAGGAAGGTTAAAATAATAAAAACATAAATAACGAGATACAGTTTTGAGTTTGAAGTTTTTTTATGGAGGCAGACGAGCAGATGGGTCACCTGATGGAATGTGACCATTGCCGCTCATAAACGTCTGCAACTCAGGAACCACAAACGCGTTGCCGTTGTTAATTAACACAATGCGTTTCTAAAATGAAAAGACCGAGTGTCGATATTTTTTAAGAATTTGTTAACAGAAGAAAATCACTGCTCAATTAGCCATTTATATTATTATATATATTATAGCATATTTCAATAATCTCATTTTATTTTAGTTGCGTTTTACTATTCATAATACATACACATTACACATACGAGTATATACTGTCATGAAATTTCGAAGCACTTAAGATAATCAATACTGTTTCTAAATAAATATTAGGTACAACCCACAATCACAATAGTTCGAAAAGCGTTATATAGTATGTTGTACCATTCATTATAATATTACTGTTGCAATAGAACTGTCTTCCTTAAGTTATAGTTATATTGTGAGAAAGTGAGACGGAAAGACTAATAAACATGCAACCTTTTATTAAAAATTCTGCCATGTTCCAGGTTTTAGACGATATACGCAGCGGACTACAATACGTGTTCCAAACTAAAAGCAAGTTGGTATTAGCTATCAGCGGGGCAGGTCACGCAGCTATGGAGGCTGTGATCACCAACTTGGTGGCCCCGGGAGAAACGTTACTCGTTGCTTGTAGGGGCATGTGGGATGAACGTGCTATTGAAATTGCAAAAAGATTCGGTAAGATCTAACCTAAATTTTAAATGATCTAAACAAAATCAGCAGAGAGACAATAAGCCACCACTTGATCATCTTTACAAGTACGAAAGCTATTTTCGAGCATCCTCTACTCTCATCATCACACCTTTTACAAAAACCCGCCGGTTTCGTGTACTCCAGACTTGTTCTGGTTGATATAATACAGAAATATTGACCATTTTAACCGTCTTCTAAAAGGAGGAGGTTATCAATTCGAATGTTTATTTTAATTTTTTATGTGTGTTATGGCGTAACTCTGTCAATTATAGACGGATTTTCAAAATTCTTTTGTCACATTATTCGAAAGTGGTTTAAATCCAAACGAGTCAAAGGACAACTCTTCAAATGTTGACAGAAAATTAACTGCGATTACTGCTAATTTTTTAAAGTTCTTTGTTAGTATTGTTTGAAAACGGATCATTTTTCTTTAAAGGATTTACTTATTTTCTGTACAATAAGACTACATCGTATGCAGTATGTTGAAACAGAATATATAGTTACAGTTTGTCCAAAAATAATGTTAAAATTCCTTGTGGTCAAATCAGTTTGACTACTACGTTTAACCACGAAGATGGAATAGTAAATATATGGATTCAGTTGTCTACCTACGGTTAACTCTTTAATGATACGTGAAATACTTAGTACAATATACAAAAACATAAAAATAACAAAATTATTTTTGTGTTTAATAGGTATCAATGTAGAAGTGACCCGAATACCACTCTACTCAACTTTCTCTCACGAACATTTAGAGAATGAACTGAAGAGGTTACGTCCGACCGCATTGTGCATTACACACGGTGATTCCTCAACAGGAAATGTACAAAAAATGCAGGGTTTAGGTGATATTTGTCATAAGTGAGTTTTTTACTAGACTTATATCATGTACTATAGCTTAAAATACTGTCTGTAACAGAGTTTTACCTTTACATTTTCGTGTTAATAACTACTATTAAGTACTAGTAGTATTATTAAGTAGTATTTACTCGTAGTTCAAGTTATAGTAAGTCACGGCACTTTTTAGTCCTGTCTATCACATCTTTGTTTTCAGAAATATAAATAAACACAACCAATAAAAATATATTTTCAGATATGGGACTCTACTGATTGTAGACACCGTTGTATCTCTGGGAGGAGTACCCTTCCTAACCGACGAGTGGGGAATTGACGGAGTATTCTCTTCAACACAAAAAGCGTTAAGTGGACCAGCTGGTATTTCCCCTGTAGCATTTTCTGCACGAGCTGAGTAAGCATAATTAACAAAAAAAAATAAACTTTTTAAGTAATAGAGTCTCAATCGCGACTCGAAAATCCATTTATAATATACATCAGTATATTATGTATATAAAGATATATTATACCATGAGGACGTATTGCCTGTTCTTTCGCTCGCACAACAGAATATTTTTTGCTTCTCTTGAAATAGTATTTTTAATTCTGGATGAAAGGTTAGTACTTTTCTTTACAGCTGCTAATTATCAGGTGTAAAGAAAAGGATTATAAAATAAATGTGTAAATATTATAAAATGTCGTTGGAAGTCATTAAACTCTACCACACTTTCGATTTATAGTATTATCCTAAGTAATTAGTTTTAGAATATTAGGATAAGTGTTAAAAAATTAGAAGTTTTTAACTCGAGGAGTAAATAAAATCGTAAATGAAAATGTCAATGATTATTTTCATCAATCTTCCTATAAGACAATATCACAAATAGAGAGCACTAACTTCTCTGTTTATTCTTTAAAATGTCCATATCTACCTTTTTACTTACTACCTTCTTTCGCAATCATATAGACTTAATGGTATAAGATTCACTCGTAGAGGATACTCTGCGCATTAAACTATATACATCAACTTTCCAAATAATAGTACAACAATGGAAAACTTAATGTACTAAAACACTATATTGTTTCAGAGAAAAAATAAATAAGAGGAAGCATGAACCGCCGTTTTATTTCGACATTAAAATGTTAGCCCAGCAATGGAACTGCTATGGAAACACGAGAGTGTAAGTATTACCCACACACTTTTATTGATTCCCCGCGATTTACTATTACTTGTAGCGTATTGCATGATATTTTTCTATGATATTTCATTTTAATATTCTTCTATCTATTTCTCATAAAAACACTAGGTTAAGTATTATATTTGTAATTAGTGAATTCCTTTACGACTTAGCTGAAATAAGAAAGATGAAACGAAGTGTGTATTTGAAAAATATTTAAATTTAATACTTGTACTGTTGGGCACAGGAGAATAGGCAATAACTGTTTGCAGTTTAAACATTGTAGGATCAGAATATAAATAATTACGAAGTAAATACATTTTTATTAATGTGTTGTCTGTGATACTCTATACTAATTTTCAGCACATATTAATCATAAACAAAATCAAATTCAAACCTGTTTTGAGTGAAAGTATATTATGTATTCATCTGCTCATGTAATATCTACTATTAATTACTTAACTCACTATTTTCTGTACCCAGGTATCATCATACAATGTCCCCTCCCTTGTTATATGCACTAAGGGCGTGTATAAAAGAACTAGTGTCGCAGACATTAGAAAAATCTTGGGCTCGCCATGCCACTACTCTTGCACACTTCCACAAAAGACTTCAAGAAATGCCTGTAACTTTCTACGTGCCGATACCCGAAGAACGTCTACCTACAGTCACAACTCTTGTACTACCAAAGAGATACGACTACACAGAGTTTTGTGACTACATGAGAACTAAGTATGTATTAATTAACGTATTTTTATTTTTTTATTTATTCATTGCCCATCGAGTAACAAAACTCATAGTTGACAATAATAGTGTAACAATTTGACTTATAACTATGTTAGTAAACAATAAATAAAAAAAAAACACAACGAGCACAATGAGATGAACCGATACCTAACATGGCACATAGATAGGATTATGCTGCAAGTCCAGCAGAAAGCCTGCAACACCGGTTTACGATCGTGCAATCCATTCGGCTACAGATCATTTTTAGAATGCTTTTGGTACTGCGTACCAAGGACGCGCATCTCTTACGCATTACTGTATAAAAACAATCCACGCGGGCTTCTGCAAACATCCCTAAAGCACTACAGAAACGTGGCAACCCCATCAGCACCCTAAACGCGTTGTTATATTGGACTCGAAGGGCGCTGCATGTTTTTAGTGTTAAATGAGCCCACAGGCTACACGCTTAGAATGAAGTACAAAATGCACGGAATAATGCGAGTTTGGCCACACTCGAACAGCGTGCAAACCTGCGAGCTATCATGTTAGCACGTACAGACAGCGCCCTTCGCTCCCGTTCGATGTCATTATCATCCTTGAGGTCGGCAGTCAGATTGTGCCCTAGATATTTAAATTGGTTTACTCTCTGTAGAGGAACTTCGTTCAGTTTAATAGTAGGCATCTCAACAGCTACACTAATAAAAGACCATAATCTCACAATTTTTTGCATTGTACACAAGTCCATGCTGTAATGCAGACCTTTAGCAAATCCTCAACAGCTTGCTGAGGCCAAAGGGCGACGCACTTAGCAGCACCATGTCATCTGCATAGCTTATATTATTTAAGCACACTCTATCTATGTGGCAGCCTATCCTGGTTCCACTAAGCTCCTCAATCAGCTCATTCATGTACAGGTTGAAGAGCGTGGGCCATGTAAACCCTCCTTGTCTCACCCCGCACTCCAACCCATACGCATCAGATGACCCCTGCCCACCTGACACTATTGAGCTGGGTTCCATACCAGAACTTGATGATATTAAGTAGTTCTCTTGATAATTTAACATCATCCAGCTTTTTCCACAGAATGTAGTATGAAACCAGGTCAAAAGCTCTCGAGAGGTCGAGAAATCCAGGGCGTTTTCCAATCCGTATAGTACTTGACAATCTGCTTAAGACACAAAATAGCGCTGTCCGTAGACAATATATTTATTTAGCTGTGTGTTAAGTAGACCGTCAAAACCTTCGATATAATTGTCGCCAATGATATAGGTCTAAAGTTATTTTTATCACCTAAATCGTCGTTTTATTTTTAAGTACGGGTACAACTAGCGTGCTCAACATCCCGACACGTAGTTATGCATGACTCATGCACAACGCAAACAACAAGGACAGTGTCCTGGTAGATAGGAACCCGCGTACCGCAGGTGTTCAATACTGAGGCCATCATGGCCCGGTGACTTCCCTGTAAACATCGATGATATTGTATTAAATGTTGATTTGATTTTTTATTTTAATGTTATACTAATTACGTTGAGTTGAAGAGGCTTCGTTTTCGAGTGCTTAAGGTCCAAGTAGTATATTTTATGTAATATTTATACAACCGGGATTTACACCGGGAAGCTGTAACATCTTATTACATTTTAATTTAAAAAAATATAAAATAATGGTATAACTATGTAAAGAAAGTCGCTGGTCTGATTTTGAATATTTCTTAACCGACTTCAGAAGGAGGAGAAGGAGATGGATTGAAATGATTACCAGCGTTTCTTACTAAACTACTTTTGTCTTTCGAGTGAGTATTCTCAAAAGAGGAAGTACTTTGTTAGTATAGAGAATACTACATAATTTTTAGTAGAAAATATGCTAAAGGTCATTCGGTTCTTAGCGACCGCGTCTGGGTGGCGCGACCCAAAACTTTGTATGAATTTATGTGGAATGCACGAACAGTGCACGAGGACGAAATATAATTTGATATGGTGAATAAAAAGCAACTCACTCAACTCACTTCTTCTCGTGATGTGAAAATTGAGTTAATCCTCATCTTTTTTTTCCGGAGGCATAGATAATAACATAATAAAAATATCACCACTGTCTTGATAGGTACTGAATATTTTTTTTCCTAGCTATTTTAAATTTTTCTGATATATCGCTCTGCAAAAGTATTTAACCGTCACGAATAAAAACTACAGGAAGAGGGGCGATGTCACCAAGAACTGCGGAAACTATGGGCCGCCCTGCGACCAGCGACCATAATCAACGCGTCGAATGGTCGCGGTCGCTAATAACCGAATGATACCCTTACTGTACATAGTTATATATTATGTTAAAAGTAAATTTTTTAAAAGAATTTTTGATTTTAGATTTATATGTTTTCTATATTTATAGACACAACATCTTAATATATGGTGGAGTCGGACCGACAGCAGGCAAGATATTGCGGATTGGAACTATGGGCATGAACGCTACCATCGAAATGGCAGACATAGTCGCTGATGCTATATTGGATACCCTAAAAGCACTCAATAAATCGTCACTTTAGTTGAAAATATAACTTTTTGAGCAACGACTAATTAATTGTTTTGTCCGCGGCCGAGCAAACAATCTCATTACATTTGCACAACATGACGTCTCTTAACAATTGAAACCAACATAAGTTTAATGTTACGGTTAAGTAGGTACACAGCTTCTTAAATACATTTTCTAATTGACTTAACTTTGTTTACGTATAGTAGAATAATAAATTATATATTCTTTTCTATATAAAATGGTGATGGTAATAGAAAACAGTTCTTTTTAAATGAAAATCATTTTTTTACTGTTTTTGATTTCTTTTGGCTAAGATTTTTTTTTTCGTGTTAAACCTACATTTCCTTTAATTCCTTCTATATTTCTAGACTTTAATTAATGAACACAATAAACCTATTGCTGATATGCTAAAACAAGTTAAACACATGTCTTACTAGTTTAATAGTTGGAGAACTTCCTTCCAACTGGAGGTCCATAGACCCGTTTTTATCATCATTTTCGGTTTAATATTTACTAACGAAATTTGCAAAAGAAAACATCTTAATACTCGTATAACGTATACTTAAGAACTGAGTTTAATATACAATCTGTTTTGATGTTTGAATGTTGTATTTCAATGATAAAGTTTTGTGAACAAGTCGAATAAGCATTGAAAAGAGTCATAGCTTGAAGTCCTTCACGTAATCTGTTCTTCGTAAACTTAAACTTCAAAGTGTCTTGAATAGTATGTCCCACCAGGAAGCATTATGGTCTAGATTAAAATTTAGTTCTATGATCTGGCAATTATACTCGTAATATGGACACTGTTATAAGCATTAATACTTTTGTTATTTAAAATTCACACTGCATAGTAAATATAGAAATGGAATATAAAAACAATTGTTAAACCGCAGGATACCAACGATAGCATGTGGAACAAATATGAGGCTGGCAAGGGCCTCGCGCCCGAGGCGAGAGGCACTTGCCAAATGTGCAATCCGATAGCGCCAGAACATTGAAGCAAGTTTATAACCACTCTATTAGCACTAAATCTAAACATTAACCCGATTTCAGTAACCAAACTTCACGAATACAGAGTGTCACCATCCCTATTCATCCTATAGGTGTCGTAAGAGGCGACTAAGGAAGCAAATTATGCAGGACAACAGCACTGCAGAGAGAAGGAAAACCTGACACAAACCCTATACCAATCCGTCTGGCCAGCGTGGTGTAGTAGGCCAAAACCTCCTTTCTAAGGCGAGGCCTATGTCCAGCAGTGGACTAGTAAAGGCTGTTGATGAAGAGTATCAACTTTATGTTTTATTTGTGTCAATACTTAATCTTAGGTGCAAAAGTCTGAATTAATCTTTTGCAGATAGTCTACAACAAAAGGTTATCGACTTATTTGTAAAACATTGTTATACATTAGATAACAAATACTTTTTACACACTCATAGAAAGATATTGGATCCGTACTTGCTTATGCTTATGATAACTTTTAACAAAAAAAAGACCATATCGAAATATAAAAAAAAAAACTGAAAACTTTCCCATTTTTAAACGATGTTACACGCTCTGTGAATAAACAGACTAATCTAAATGTGGTATCAAGGATTGTATCTCATATGTTAACCGACTTCAAAAACACAAAGAGGAGGTTATCAATTCGTCTGTTTTTTTTTTTATGTTTATTACGCGATATCTCCGTCAATTGTAGACCAATTTTCAACATTATTTTTGTAATCAAAAGGGTATAATTACAAGGTGGTTAAATTTTAAAATTTTGCTCAAATTTTACAGGCCCAACAACGTGTTTTAGCTTGTTTGTCTAGCGAGTACTAGTATAAGTATTTGCGTTTAGTAGTCGTTATGTCATGTTGCGGAGCTGATGATGGAAGGGTCCTAGACCTCTAGAAGTTAGAGGATCTCTTGCAAAAATCTAATCATGTATTGACCTTGTTTTTTCTTTTAAGATATTTTCCAGGTGTTTGTGTTGGGTTACAGATATATATGCACAAAAGAGAGTTGAATATAAGATTACAAAACATTAAGACAAAAAAATTTTGTTACAAAAATTTTTTTCATGTTTGTTACCCGAAAACTCTTTCATTTGTAAACCGATTATAAAAATATTTACTTCCTACCTTATCTAAATAAAGTAACGGACTTATTAAACTATATTTAATATAATCTAACATACTACAGTTAGGTACTATACATTACGGTACGTGGTGTTTTAAATATCGTACTTATCTACTCATTACAAACATTTCTTCCACTAAAAATAGTAAAATAAATCCTCTTAAAAAAGTTGAACCGACTTCAAACAATACTGACAAAGACCACTAAAAATTAAAAAATAATTACAAATAAAAGTAAAAAAAAACGACTACTATACTAACTATAATAAGAATCCCCAATATAACATGTAGCATTATAATAGAAATAGTCACATCTAATCTGTTTAAAGTCCATGAACATATACAGGATAATGATATTAACGACTAAAATTGCTACGAAAGTATTGTGAAAAGCAGAGAACCTTGGTTAATATCGGATCACGTGTCAATGCTTATGATGTTTACACATATATATTTTTTTTAAATCCCGAAGCCATAGGTCTTAGTTTTGTTCATTTGCCTCTAAAACACCCGGAAATAATTTTCTCCTTATTTGGAGTACCGATAACCCGTGCCGACTTGCATTCGAATCATGTGCATACAAGTTGCGCGGTGGTAGCGGTGCGTATTCGCGTTATTTGTCATTTGTTCTCAACTATTCCCGCGATTAACACGTATTGTTTTATATTTAAAAAATGGCAGTGGAATTAGGAAGTAATAAAAAAGTTTTTTCTTAGTTGGTGACGTAAATTATCAAATAACAATCGCAAAGTTACCGTCTAATCTTGAAGTTCTTGCAGTACTTTTTTTACATTCGCGAAATTAAATTGACTGTTAGTGAAAGGGCTAATCTAGTCATTTGGGAGTGTATTATATTTTGGGGAAAGCTAGATTCCCTACCAGAGCTATACCCAACTATGTGAAAAAACTTGTGGCTCTTCATATCGCTTGGAGGGGTTGCAAAAAAATTCAAAAAAAATACAAGATATTTAAAAGCGCCATGAGGAGGACTTTAGAAACATTTTGATAATTTATTTGAGATAGCACACGCTGATGCTATGGAACAGATCAAAATTGAAGAAGATAAAATACTTTTACAAAAAAAGAACCAGGGGTTAAGCGGGTGTAGACAAAAAGTTAGCCGAAAAAGAAGAACGGGCAAGACAAAGAAAATTAAATGAAGAGAAAAACGATTTGAGCAAATGTGTTTCGTTGGTTCATCGTCATTTCTTAGGTGCTATGTAAGATTCCATATAAACGCAAGGGCATCACGAACAACTTACCAGCTCTGATAAAGGCCTTGAGGAACACTTGCCATCAGCCTCTCAAATGGTAAGTTCTGAAACTACTACAAAAAGAGGAAGGAAATACTTTATTACGTCTAAGTTTGCTGCAGCTTTAGATAGATGTCAATTAAGCATAAGGGATTTTGTCTATGTACTTCAGGCTGCAGTAGAAGCATTAGAGATGTGATGATTTTCCGACAAACAAATCGTCCATTCAACGCATTAACAAAAGAGTCGAAAAGATAGAGCGGAATCTATAAAAAAACAGATTTTCAAAAAAATATGCCTGAAATGGTGACCGGTCACTGGGGTGTGAAATTATTACCTGAACTTGAAGTTGTTGAAGTTCTAAAGAGCACGCCTGCCAATTCTAATTTCATTTGAAGAAAAGGAACAACTTCTGGCTGTACCCAAACTAGAGAGAATTTGTATGAGAGATACATTCCATTTGAAGAAGATATGTCTGATTATGTGTATGGTAAGTAGGAACTCAATACATGGTATTATTTTTATACTGTTTTCAATAAATTGATAATAATGCTGCCTTATTTATTTTTGCAGGACAATCATTAAGTGATTTTGTGTCTGTCAAGTTAATTTCAAGTCAAATTTATTTTCTCGATTGAAAATTGATAAGAATTTCTTCCAGAGACCCGTTTCCACATGGGATGAAAATGTTGCGTATGTTGCGCAAAAATAAAAGTGCTTTCTTTAAGGGCAGTTAATGATATAGCTGAAAGATCTGTAAAGCTTATGCAAGATTTTTATGGTTTTACCACTGCAAAGGCAGAGCAAAAGCAATTTTTGCTACGCTGTGTTCAGGAGCATAGAATCTGTATTCAGACTGTTAAAAAGAGACTCTCAAAAGAAAATATCCTGCCTGACCTGTAATTTTATCTTTTTTTATAAATTATTTTCACGGTTCGACGTTGTGCGGTTGAAGATTTCACTGCGTAAATGAATCTTATTATTCACAATACCCCCGATGCACCACCAAATACCAATACCAAAAAGTGGCGACAAGCCACCGGATGATCCTAAATCCTACCGACCAATCACATTGTTACCATCGTTAGGAAAGCTTTTAGAACGTCTTGTAGTGCCCCGGCTTCTGCCAGGTGGAGTCAAATTTCATGATAGACAATTTGGATTTACGTTGGGTAAATCGACAACTGACGCTGTTATATCGGCTAGAAAGTTTGTCACAGAGTCAAAATTTCAATACGTGCTGGCTATTTTCTTAGATATATCTGGCGCCTTCGACAACGCATGGTAGCCCATGCTGTTACTAAAATTAAAATCACAGGGGTGCTTTAAAAATATTTATTCCCTTATCTCTTCGTACTTTTCACAAGGTACAACTAAACTAAGACTTGGTCATCATTCTGTGTCGAAGGCGCTTACAATGGGATGTCCTTAGGGATCGTTGCTAGGTCCATACTTGTGGAATATCGGCTTCGACGATTTTCTTGCGATACCAATACCATCCGGATGTACTCTGAACGCGTATGCTGATGACGGCTTATTACTGGTGGAATCTGATACTAGGGCGGGGCTTGAAAGATTAGCCAATAGATGTTTGAACTTGATATCTCAATGGGGTGAACGTAATCACTTAACTTTTGCAC